TCTAACTTAACATACATTTTGGGCTCCATTGTGGTCTCAAGTGAAGGATTACCTGTATTTTATTTATTTTGTTGGGATAGTTTATCCTCCAGTGGCAGGAACATGAAAGGTCATCCCAATCCTTAGCCTTAAACTAGCTTTCCAAAATCAATTTCACTGAGATAGTTTGATGCAAGAAAAGTAGCATTTTGGGATTTCATCCTTTCAGTGTATAATCCCAGAATGTTCCACATATTTAGCCTTCACCTCTTAGGGCAAGAGAGATGTGAAACTAAGTATAGAATATAAAGAAGATGACCTGGTCAAGAATATGCACAAACCATTAACCAATAAAAGGGTCTGCAACATTTTAGAGTCCGAAGCAAGAAGATAACATTCCTCTCAGACAGGCACTTCCTGAATTCAGTTAACTATAAAGGATGCAGCATAACTAGATTTGCATGAATGTACTGTTAAAGCCAATATCAACAAAAGTAGTTTTAACCTTTCTGTGGAGTTGTTTTCCTGATATGGTCTACTTTGTGGGTCTGGCACTAAATACACTATTAAGGATTAGGGCCATGTTTTTAGAATTAAAACATACACACATATAAAAATCCCAATCTTAGATATAATGAAAGGGAGGGGCAATAGTTATTGGGAACAAAATCCACAAGGAAACAGGATTTACCATAATCTTTATTTTCCTCCCTATGATTATGTCTCCCATCCTCCCAGTGCAGTTATTATCTGTATTGGGTCTATGTGTGTTAATTTTGTCAGTATGTCCCTGTATGTCTAACATCTGCCTTTCCTGTATGTCTAACATCTGCCTTTAGGTGTGTGTATGTTTAGATGTTGCTGGGAACAACTTTGTATTTCTATATACTGTTGAAAATAGTATCCCTGCCTGTTGCTAACTATTAGGAAAAATGCTGTGGTTTCTAATGAAAGTATCTAGTAGCACATCTTGTTTAGCTGTTTAAATTAGGCACTGCTTGTTCCCAAAATTGTGGGCTTATACAAAGCTTCTGTGTTTCTTAGAAGTTTGAAGGATACTAGCATGCTTGATCGATGGCAGAAGACTTTTGGAATAAGATTTTACCTCATAGGGAGTCTTCGTAAGTCAGGGCTCCAACTATTGGCAGTAATATAGCTGTTGTACTAAGTTGGGAGGCCTCTGGAAACTGAGTCATTTCCAGAAACATGACAAGGATTTCTAATAGTCAGCTGTGTGACAACAGTGGCGACACTAAAATGAAAATATTGGAGGCAAAGGGAATGTCTAAAATAACTTTTCAGAGAAGTAAAAAGTCCCTTTTCAGTGAAAGGGACTCCATTCTAATGCCAGTCAAAAATATGTGGTCAAAAACTGGTAGTAGATATTTGCCTGACTGACCCATGCTTTGCTTCTGGCGCTGATTGGTTTAACGTTGTAAGCTGCCCCAGAGTCATATCAATGTGGGATGGGCAGCAAACAAATGTAATAATAAATAAATAAAAAACTGATGGATTTCAGCTTCTAACAAAACAAAATAGATCTTCACAATTCTACATTTTTAAATTGTACACAGATCTACTAGATGCTTTGAGGCCCAAATGCAGGACCAAATTTTACATTTCACAGACATTTTGTTTCTTTAATAATTTTAACAACAGCTAATCCTCCCTAGACTGGACTGAAATGTACTGCAGCAACGTGATATAAATAGATATTCTACAGCCCTGCACTCTCGTTTGATTCCCAATCCTATTCTGTAGGACATTTAGTCCTAAAGAGTAGGTTTGTGAAGGCCTGCTGGGGCAGTGGGAAAGGGACTTTATGCTGAGTCTGTTCTTTTGACTCTTGGATGTATTTGGTACTTCAGTGTCTTCAGGCTGAAAACTTATGCGGTACAATTATTTTAGCTTCATTTTGAAGAAAGAGGCAGTTTGATAATATGGGCTATATACCATTTTTTTTACACTAATTTTCTTCCATCCCTCAATTATCTGGCAATTTCGGTACCTGCTTTGCCAGGCTGTATTAGTATTAGTAAAAAGCTAATGTGTTCTTCTAAGAAACTGAATATGAACTTCCAAATGTCAGTTTCATTCACTGCTTTGCAAACATACAATTCTGTTTTTATCTCTCATTAAAAAGTGCAGGCAAGCTACTCAGTGGTGGGATTCAAATTTTTTTACTACCAGTTCTGTGGGCATGGCTTGGTGGGCATGGCAGGGGAAGGATGCTGTAAAATCTCCAGTCAGAGGTGGTATTTGCCGGTTCTCCGAACTACTCAAAATTTCTGCTACCGGTTCTCCAGAACTGGTCAAAACCTGCTGAATACCATCTCTGAGGCTACTTATTTTCCTCAGCATCTCTGCAATGTAGTTATTACATTTGCAGAGAAAACTTCCTTTGGCTGAAAATCATAGTCCAAGATGATTCCAAGTAAGTCAAACAAGTTAGCTTCTGGCCTGGTTTTTCCTTTTGGTGCAAACATAGTTTCGTTTAGTTTTAGCTGGCTTCTTCTGCCCCCTTGTGGTTGTTTATTAGTACTTTCCCCACCTCTAAATAATGAAAGGATCTCTATCCTAGGAAATCAGCAAAAAAAGGAAGCAGGAATAATTTTCTAGTTGAACTTGTATCAGCCACCGGAAAGAAAAACAATAAGGTCACGCTAATTGGTATTCAGCTTTCTTCATTTATTGAATGCATGTGTTATTTTTGCCTTTGTATATACTCTTTTAATATATTTTTGAATGATGGAGACCAGCTTTGCTATTTTTTTTCTTCTTTTCTACCACTATTTTTCATGTTATTATTTTTTCAGAAATGAACATTTTCTGCTGGTTTCCCTCATATACTTCATTGGATTTATATTTGGAATACAGAAATCGACTAATCATTAGAGATTGGTAGACCTTATATGAGAGAATTGGCTGTTTATTTATTGTTTGGATGCCTTGGGAAGCGTTGAATTTTCTTTCTAGAATAGAGCCAGTTTGGTGTAGTGATTAAGATACCAGGTGTGAAATCAGGAGACCTGAGTTCTAGTTCTGCTTTAGGCATGAAAACCGGCTGAGTGACCTTGAGTCAATCATTTGCAGCTCAACTTAGCCCATAGGGTCATTGTTGTGGGAAAAGAGTATGTTTGTCACTTACAGTTATTTATAAAAATAATAAAGGCTGGATTAAAAAAAAATCTATTTTTTAAAAAAATGATTATTGTTGTCAAAGATATTTTATTTATTTTATCTGAAATATTTTAACAGCTGCCCATCCCACAATCCAGGCAACGCACAACTCCAAAAAATAGAACAACTTTTATCTGCAATAGAAAAAGATTGAAGTGGGCATAAATATTAAAACTGAACATTAAAACCAGAAAACTGGTTAAACTGCCCACAACAATTTCATCTCAGTACACTCAGATATGAGGCTAACCAAGCCATTTTGGGATGTGAATTATTAATGAGCAGGATTAGGACTGGGGAGAGAAATCCTCGCTTAGCTGTGAAAGCTCTCTGAGTGTCTTTGGGCTACATACTTATTGAGTGGGTAAATCAAAAGGATTACAGGTTATGCAACTTTTATTCAGAAAGTAAAGGGAGCTACAGGGTTAGGTAACTTTCAAATCTGATACTGTTTTAAGATGCTATGAGAACTCTGAAAACCTTGATGTTTATTCTTCTAATGCTCCTTTTTACTTTTTCTCCTCTTCATCATCATCTTCTAGTTGTTTTAATTTTTTTTTAAAAAAACCTTATAATTGCATACATGGGCAAATTAAATAAGTGTAAAAAGATGTTAGTTTCAGGCATGGGCAGTGCTTTCAAAGGAGTACAAAGGTAGTCTAGTGCTGGATTGAGAGGTTTTACTAATCGTGCAACATAATTTGTTGAATAAATGACTCATTGCTTAGATTCATACTGCAAGTCCAGCTATGATTTGCAAATTTCACTGGGTTGGTTTATGGCCAATTATCCGGTAAAATCCATTACCACAATTCACAGCTATGGCAGTAAACTTAGTTGACTTCAAAAGAAATTGAGATAAATTCATGGAGGGCAAGACTATCAAAAGCTATTGTTCTTGTAAATCAGTTACTTTAAATTTGGGCCAGCGTCTCTTTTAATACAGTATCAGCTATAAGGGTGAAAGAGGGTTGTTGCTCTCCTTCCTGCTTGTGAGCATCTCAAGGCATTGAGTTTGGCCAATGTGAGAAATAAAATGCTGGACTATGATAGGCTTTGGCCAGAATGAGCAGGGCTATTCTTGTGTTCTAATGTCCTAATAAATTAAGCCAAACTGAATCAATCAACCATATGAGTTAATGGGTTGTTTGAACCCTGTTCCTGAGCTCTAGCACAAGAACTCAGCCTTTGTTCCAATGCTGTTGAATTATGGTGCCATGGGGCATGGATAATGTTCATTGCACTGCTATATTTGCTTGACTGTCATCAATATATTTAAATATACAAAGCTGATTCTTGCTGGAATAGTTGAGCTAAGGTTCCTGTGTTCTCCATTCTCTACTTCTGAAAGTCAAGAATATAAATGACAGCCCTTTTATCTTTTTGATTCAGTTTAGTGGGATCTTCTCAAATCTGGATTGTCAAAAGATTTCACTATGCTAGAATTTTTTTTTTGCACAAATGTTAATGTAATTCTGTATATATAACCAGAGTCTGAGGCATGTTGTTTTGGGAAGGCTTCCTTAGCACATCTCATTTTTACTTTTTTTTTTTTTTTAGTATATGAAAAAGATAAACGGGTAGCTCTCAAGGCTCCCAGGCTGATTGGTCTTGCTATGTATGCCGGCAATAGCGTCATAATCACATTGGTATGCAACTCTCCTGGTTTTAGACTGCAATTCTGCCCAGTGAAATGCTTTGGATAGCTATGCTCATGACACCTTCAATAAGTCTTCTGAGTCAGGAATATTTTCCTGTTCTTGTGTTGGAAGCATTTTTTTCTTCTTCACAGCTGAAATCAGATGCTACTAATGTTGTTCTCTGTCCTTTCTCTCTTCCAGACTTAGAAGAAGAAGAAATTGCCTGCACTCAGAATAACCAGGTGTATCTGAATAGGGACATCTGGAAACCTTCGGATTGCGAGATTTGTGTGTGTGACAATGGAGCCATTCTGTGTGATGCTATTCAGTGTCTCGAAGTACTAGAATGTGAAAACCCACGGGTCCCCCCTGGAGAGTGTTGTGCTACATGCCCAAACACAGGCCGGACTGGATTTGAAGGTTCTATCGGTAAAGTTTTTTTAAAACAACAAAATAACTTTCAATATATCAGTGTGTTTTTTTAAATCCATACTTTCAGTGACCGTTTGATAGTAAAGCATGACACGAGAAGATCAGGTGTGCACTACAATATACTGTGATTAGTGATAATGAAAGGAAAAAAACCAAGAAGCTAAAAAACCAAAAGGTTATATAGCAGAATGTACAAAACATTAATTGTGAAAGGTTCTTTGTAAATAAATTAATTTAGAAAGTGATCTTACTCATTCTATTTTTTATTTATTTAAAGCATTCTCCCCCCGCCCCACTTTTTGTTTAAAATGGATGGTTTTACCTTTCTAGTGAGTGTTACATGTATACAGTTGTTAATTCATTTTGGTTTGATTATTTTTAACACGTGCAAGTCTAATTTATATACCTTTTCTCCTAAAACATAGACCCCCCCCATTTGCTCCCCCTGATAAGCATTTCATCTATACCTCCTCCAAACACACAAACAATTCTTTTAAAGCCAAAAACTTGATTGTGAGAAGAGCACAGCTTAGAAAGGGATACCAAAATCAGATTAGTTTGGTTCGAAGTATAGACTGAATGAAACTTTCCAATATTCAATAATTTTAGTACATTTTTCAACTGAAAACTGTTCCAGAACTTGCAAGATATTTAAAAAACTCAGCAATGACTGTGTTTTCACTGATACCAAAATTTGAGAGGAATGGATATGCATATAGAAGTAGACTGAATTCTCCAAGCATATCTATGGGACAATATAGGCAGGATAGAAAACAATGGATGGAAATTAATCAAGGAGAGAAGCAACCTAGAACTAAGGAGATATTTCCTGACAGTGAGAATAATTAATCAGTGAAACGGATTGCCTTCAGAAGTTGTGAGTGCTCCCCACAACTTGTGGGGAAATCTTTAAGAAGAGACTGGAGAGCCATTTGTCTGAAATGGTATAGTGTTTCCTGTCTGAGCAAGGGGTTGGACTGGAAGACCTCAAAGATTCCTTCCAGCTCTGCTATTCTCTTAATACGTATTATGTATGAAAGTGGTGGTGGCGATAGTAGAGAAAGCAATACTTCAGTGACAATCCCTCGTACTATGCCTGTTTCATCCCCATTCCCAAGTCCTTGAAGAGATGTTGACAATTTTGGGAACACAGAATGGATCAATAAATTCAATAGAATACTTTTTAAAATAGATGTATAGAAGGACTCATTTCTTTTTTCTTTAAAATAACTTTTTTTAAAGATTGCACAAACCAAACAAAATATCAGAATAAAAAAGAACCATGCAATACAAAAAAACAATAAGGAAAAAATAAAACAAATTGAAACCAAAATATAGGCAAAAAGACCCTGCTAACATTTAAAGACCCTAACAGACCTTAACAAATTTTAAGGCTAAACATTTAATATGTAAAACATACAAATGTCACTAGTTTACAAAAATACTTTTACACATTACTAAAATTATAAAATTATATAACAAAATCTATACCAAAGAGGAATGTGTTACTTCATTTGTTGATTAGTTAAAAATGCTGCCTTTTCTCAGATGGACAAGTTACACATTTCTCAAAGCAAATTTTTATTGTCTTGAATAATATCACTTTTCCACTGTCTCAATATATTTTTTCCATCCACCATGCCCAGATTAACCAGAATTCTTCATAGATTCCAAAGTTTTGGAATATGATTCTACATCACATTAACATCTTTAACATTTAGAGATTTCCCCGTGAATATACTTACAAATGTGGAAATATTATTCCAGATGATTACCAGTAGTTCAGAAGAACAAATTAGATAGGCCAATGAACTTTTACATTTCCAGGAAAAATGTAGTAGGGAAAATCTAATACTCATCCGTTTGAATACAGTAATTTTTTGAGGGTGCGGGGATGGGGTGGGGAAGTCCAGTCAACTTAAAATACGGTTTTGATGAATCAATTTTTGTATTAAATTTGATATTGCGTGGGTGTTAAAAGCTTGCTTTTATCAGATATTCTAATTCTTCAGTCTGAGTTTGATATATCCGTGTAATACCAACTTTAAAAATATTGTGCTTTAAAAATATAAGCTATATTGTGAGTCAGACTTAAATCTATGAATTCATATTCTTCTACCATGCACATAGTTATCAAGAACAATGAATGGGTCTGCTGAGACATTCCTAAGCAAAATATCCCACGAAATAATGCACGACTAATCCATGCTGATCTTATTTGAAATTAGTTGGAAGCAGAACTTTGTAGATAGATACAGTGCTAAAGAACTGGGAAGGTCTGCAACATGCATTATCTTTCAAGTTGTAAATGTAAAATTGCTAGGATGTCTAAATAAACCTTTTCCTGATATAATTCTGAAATAGTAGAGCTTCTACTTAATATTCTGCCTCTTTGGACTCATGTCTCCAGTTAATCTTAACATTGTAAGTAGCTTTAGACGTGAAAGCTGCCATCTGAGATTTAAAAACAGTTCAAAATGACAATTTGGTTTTAGAACACAGGTGTCCAACCTTTGGACTTGCCTGAGCTACAATGAGTGAAGTGGAATTGTCTTGGGTCGCATATAAAGTATATAATATAATTAATGTATCTAAATAAAAGAGAAGCATGGTACCTGCTGGTAAAGCATCTCAGCTCCCACTCAGATGATTTAGAACTCAATCCTAGGTAGCGGCAGATGTTTCTCTCTTAGAGTATAAAAAAAAAATCTGCTATGAACTCCACATGGTGTCAGGAAAGGCATCTGGCCAGTAAATGCCTCAACTCTATCCAGTCACCCTGACTCTATCCTGAATTAAGGGATTATAGTATTGTAGAAAGGGAGTTATTAATTTTTATAAATAACAAAACTTTCTTCAATGTTTTATAAATCTTGTGGGGCTTCATTACTAGCTGTCCAAGGCCACAAGCAGGTTAGACACACCTGTTCTAGACTATGACCTTAATGTCGTGTAAGTTATATTTTGGTGCCAGTTGTTATTGCATCAAATTGCTACTTGGGCATATAATATCTTCTTTGGATAATTGGAGCTGTTTTCAGTTAGTGTCAAGCTAGTTCTCCCCCAACCCCCCTTGGAATAGTAATAGTCCATTTTGTTGTCCCTTTTTAAAGCCATTCAGATACAATTGCCAAATTATGACATTACTGTGTTTCCTTTGATTTTCTTTTATAACAAAAGCAGCATTATTTTGCCACAAAAATAGACATTCCCCTCAAATAATAAAATAGAACCTGATGATTAAGAAACCAGACAAAAACAGTTGAGAGATTATTCAATCACAAATCCCACATTTATCATTAACTCAAAACAAAAATGTAGTCTAGAAGTGCAGGGACGAAACTTTTAATTGAAATTAGGAATACATTTATTGCGTGGAACTTAATTCCTGTTAAACTCTGCTCTATAGAAGGATTTGGATCATAGAGAAGCACTGCCTGACAATAACCAGCTTATTATACAAACATGTTGCTTTGGCAGCTCGAATGGGAACCTGCCAGGAGACAAGCCAGAGTTTCTGGCTCAGATATTAGAGTAAATAAACAAGAGATGGAGCAGCAACGACTTGTTAGCTAAGCTTGCTGGATGAAAAAGTGAAGCAGGATTGATCAAGCAAAGCACATCATCACGTAATAATCAAGGATTCATTACAGTTTGGGCTTACTGTGACATTGTAGTGCAGCCTATAAGAGTTGAGTTTCAGGCAGTATCCAGCTACCCATGGAGAATCATGAAAGATTCTAAAAGATTCTGGTCAAGAAGCCACCCTAAATGATCTACTGGTAATCAATAGTTTAAGAGACAAAAAGGAAAGAACTGAGCAACCCACTTGTACCTGCTATCTGCAGTTCTGTCAGTAGGATAATAGCGAGGTAATAACTGAAAGCCAGGCCGGTGCAATGGTGAAGGTGCTGGCCTAGAATCCAGGAGACTGAGAGTTCTAGTTCTGTCTTAAGCATAAGAACTCACCTGAATGACTTTGGGCCTAGTCACTCTATCTCAGCCCAATCTATCTCACAGAGTTGTGAGGGAATAAGGAGGAAGATTGGGTATATTTGCTACCCTGAGTTACTTATAAAGACATAAAGGTGACATTAAAAAAATCTGATAGACAGACAGACAGATCAAGCTGAACTGGAGAGCTACAATGATCCAATTCCCTTCTTTGAGAATATGCTGTTTACAGAGATTCTGGGACAAGCCTTCTCTGAAATGGCCTTTTAGGGAATGACTTTTACTTCATTATGCAGTCTCCCTCCTCTATACTGGCACACAGAGGACCATAAAGACTCAGCTCTTCAGGACACATTTAGGCATGTTTAGCCTACCGTCACAGTTGGCAATGTCACTGTGCATAGATGGATGACAGTAGTTTATGTTTTTAACCCTATGTTCTGGCATTTTGTCAGTTGTTCAGAACCAATGGGAATTTAATGGCATAGAAGCTTTAGTATTTTTTTTAAAAAAATTAACCTATTTAAATGTTTCCATGATTAAGAAGGAAATGTAGTATTATTACACACTAAGTATTTTCTTCCAAAATTCATACCATATAGTTCCCTGAAAAACGAAAACAAAATCTCTTTAAATGACAGCAGGAGTGATTCATTATTTGTCTGCCTAGAGGAACAGAAACTGGAATGACCCCTAATTGGAAAAAAAGGAACCTATATTTGGAGGAACTTCACGACATTCTTTCAAACTGGAAGCCAGCAAGAGCACGCATGCAAACCCACAGTCCTTTCCTATCCATCTTTGCTTTGAAGTAAATTCCATCAAGGCCAGAAGGGCTTATGTCTAGATACAGTGGAACATTTGTATACATTTGTATACACCCCAGTGCATTATGCTTTCTGAAAATGATTTGTCAGTGATGATACTGATTATGAATTAAGAGTGCTGTGCTGGTTGCTCTATGCCAGTTAAGCAGTAAAACCAGATATGGTTGCTTTAATAAACAGATGGTACATGTCTGGAAAGTCTTTAGGTGTTTTTAAGGTCAAAGGCTGAATATTTATTCAGTAATACAAATAGGGAGAAATATGTTTGGAAGCTGCAGGCTGCATAAGAGCTCTTAAATATATTAATTCATGTCAGCTGTCCCTAACCTGATGTCCTACAGATGTGGTGAAACTATAGCTCTTACAACCCTGCCAATTGGAATCTCAAAAATGTCTAAGAGAGGATACATGTGTCCTCCCAACATATGTCTGTCTGTTTGCTTGCCTGTCTGCCTGTGTATGTAGGTTTAATTTTAGCATTCTCCTTAAAACAAAAGATAAGTGCTCAAAGAAAAACAGGAGATTTTATTTAATGATTCATGTTACCTAGAAGATTTTCTACTATGTGAAATAAAAAACATAAATACAAAATATTGGGGTTAAATGTAATCTTAAAAGCCCAGTGCATTGTAAATAGATACAGTATGCACAGTTTAAGTTTTTTCGGACCTTACATTTTTTTTATTCCACTTCAGCACAGGTATATTAATTCATTTTTAATGAGCCTGCATTAAAATGTATGTGCTTTTGATGCATGTGTTACAGTATTGATTTTTCTGTCTGTGTTTTTCCTTAATACATTGCTGTTTGGTATGATTTTTCCCAAGTGTGCAGATTTCAACACTTTTCCCTGATATGCATTTCTGAATGCATTTTTTAAAACTTACATTTTCAACTTTTTTAAAAAAAAATCACATAAATACCTGTATTTAAGTAAGTTTTAGTGTGTAAAGTATGGATTTAGTTAATTTGCATTAAAATCTGAATCAAGTGAACTTCTGTGCCATCTGAAATAAAACCCAATTAGTTAAATTTATTCCCAGTTATGTTGCTCCGTAGGGCAACAAATGCTTTTCTGGATATTGATGGAGTGAAGCTCAACTTTTTACAGGGTTTTTTCCTGCCTGTCTTTGTTTCACTCAGTGTTTTGACTTTGATGCCAAATCTCTTCCCAAAACTACTGCCACCTAAGAATAGCAACAGCATTTAGACTTATTTATCATTTCACAGTGCTTTACAGCCCTCTCTAAGCAATTTACAGAGTCAGCCTATTGCCCCCAAACAATCTGCATCCTCATTTTATTGACTTTGGAAGGATGGAAGGCTGAGTCAACCTTGAGCCTGGTGAAATTTGAACTGCCAAATTGCTGGCAGCCGGCAGTTAGCAGAAGTAGCCTGCAGTACTGCATTCTAACCACTGTGCCACCATGGCTATTGAATGCCTGTTTTTTCCATTCATGTCAGTGCCTTGCAGTCAACCAGTCATACATAGCCAGAGGGGGTTAGCATCTCTTTTCTAGAGGATTAACTAATACTGGTAAAAAGCTGATCTTAGGAACATAAAATGAGCAAAATGTTTTATATTCCATATTTGTGTATTTGCACTCCAAAAGCAATTAACATTGAAACAATCTGCATATACCCAGTGACGGCATAATAGATCTGGAGGCCTAGAAGCTAACAGGTGACTCTAATATGAGTGGCCCATTGGCTATCTGGCTACTGGTATTCTGGTATTCTGTAACTTTAGCCACTATCCTATTACAAGGTTTTAGGATAAGGATGGGAGTCAGGAGAGCAAGGATTTTTCTTTCCTCCTCGGAAGTCTTAGTTGAGAGTCTTCAGAGAAGCAAGAAGGACTGGATCGGCATATGATTTGGAGTTTGCCCAAAGTCCCTCTGCCCAGAGAATTAGTAAAGTGAAGTTTGCAGTGAAAGGATGTATTGCCACACCAGGATGTATTGTTTCTTTTCAGTGGTTAGTTCTCTAGTTACATCTTTTCTCTCATTCACTGTCCCTCTCTCTATTTGTTCAGAGTAATGTTTTCTGTTCTTATGCTTCTGAAATAGATCTATTGTTGCCTTTAAAAAAATTAAAATCCTCTGTTCTTTGTTTGTTTTACACACACACACACACATACACACATACACACACACCGAATTTAATAACACAAACACATTGTGTTTTGTTCTTTCACCATGGACTTCCAAAATGGCTTAAACTTGGTAAGATAGGTTAAAAGGGGGGAAATTGAGATAATTATTTAAAATATTATTCCTGGATGAGGTGGATTTGCTGCAGTGCCCTCAAAAGACTGTTGGTGTGTCTACCCTTTCCAGAACAGGTCATGGCAACATAACTACTGGTTTAAATAGTCATTTATGGTGAGCAATCTCACTAGCCAGTCCAAAACACAATAGATGGGATCCCATCTATTGGGCGAGGATGGGAGAGGATAGGTAGGATGGTCTTGACAATATATAGTCACTACTTTCAAAAGTTAAATATGCTTAGCTCATGAGATATGGCTCTACAGACATGATCACCAATGCTTGGAAATTAATTGTGTTAATTAATTATTTCATTTTGCTTCCCTTTTTCTAGGTAGAGGACTAAAGGTAAGCTTAATTATTGTTATTTAGATCTCTCTCTCTCTCTCTCTCTCTCTCTCTCTCTCTCTCTCTATATATATATATATATATATATATATATATATATATATATATACACTGCTCAAAAAAATAAAGGGAACACTTAAACAACACAATGTAACTCCAAGTCAATCACACTTCTGTGAAATCAAACTGTCCACTTAGGTAGCAACACTGATTGACAATCAATTTCACATGCTGTTGTGCAAATGGAATAGACAACAGGTGGAAAGCAGAGGCAGTTAGCAAGACATCCCCAACAAAGGAGTGGTTCTGCAGGTGGTGACTACAGACCACTTCTCAGTTCCCATGCTTTCTGGCTGATGGTTTGGTCACTTTTGAATGCTGGCGGTGCTTTCACTCTAGTAGTAGCATGAGACGGAGTCTACAACCCACACAAGTGGCTCAGGTAGTGCAGCTCATCCAGGATGGTACATCAATGCGAGCTGTGGCAAGAAGGTTTGCTGTATCTGTCAGTGTAGTGTCCAGAGCATGGAGGTGCTACCAGGAGACAGGCCGCTACCAGGAGACAGGTCTACCAGGAGATGTGGATGAGGCCGTAGGAGGGCAACAACCCAGCATCAGGACTGCTACCTCCGCCTTCGTGCAAGGAGGGACAGGAGGAGCCCTGCAAAATGACCTCCAGCGGGCCACAAATGTGCATGTGGCTGCTCAAATGGTCAGAAACAGACTCCATGAGGGTGGTATGAGGGTATTTGCCAGAGAACACCAAGATTGGCAAATTCGCCACTGGTGCCCTGTGCTCTTCACAGATGAAAGCAGGTTAACCCTGAGCATATGTGACAGACATGACAGGGTATGGAGATGCTGTGGAGAACATTTTGCTGCTTGCAACATCCTCCAGCATGACCGGTTTGGCAGTGGCTCAGTAATAGTGTGAGGTGGCATTTCTTTAGGGGGCTGCACAGCCTTCCATGTGCTTGCCAGAGGTAGCCTGACTGCCATTAGGTACCAAGATGAGATCCTCGGACCCCTTGTGAGACCATATGCTGGTGAAATTGGCCCTGGATTCCTCCTAATGCACGACAACACTAGACCTCATGTGACTGGAGTGTGTCAGCAGTTCCTGCAAGATGAAGGCATTAATGCTATGGACTGGCCCGCCCATTCCCCAGACCTGAATCCAATTGAGCACATCTGGGACATCATGTCTCGCTCCATCCACCAATGCCACATTTCACCACAGACTGTCCAGGAGTTGGGGGATGCTTTAGTCCAGGTGTGGGAGGAGATCCCTTAGGAGACCATCTGCTACCTCATCAGGAGCATGCCCAGGCATTGTTGGGAGGTCATACAGGCACGTGGAGGCCACACACTCCCTTTATATTTTTGAGCAGTGTGTATGTGTGTGTGTGTGTGTGTGTGTGTGTGTGTGTGTGTGTATTCGTAGATTTTCACTGATACAGGTATGCAGGTCTTGGCATGTTTGGGTCTTTTCCCGTGTAAGATTGAGAGCTGAAATGTCACCAAGATACTCTCAATCTTACACGGGAAAAGACCCAAACATGCCAAGACCTGCACACACACACACACACACACACACACTAAAAGGGGAAGTAGTTGGAGGTGATATTTCAAGAAATTCAAGGTTCCAGAAAGAGTCATCCTCTCGTAAATGTATTAACATTAGAAAGACAAAGTTGTTAACCATTCTTTCTAAAGTTTCCAGACTCTCTGACTTGAAATAAATAACAAGATATGCTTAGATATGGGAAGAATGTAAGGAAAAATGAATGAAATGACAGATGTGGATTTCTGTGGAGCGTCATTGCAGCTTGAGGCATATGGGATAAAGAATGCATATATGATTCTTTAGCGCATCACTCAGCTGAACTGAGTGGGAAGAAACTTGACGTATCTTTCTGCTACCTGGAGAATGAAATACCAATTCAATTTATTTATTTATTGAAGAAATACCAGTAAGTGAGTAAGTAAGTAAGTACCATGTTTCTCACAAAATAAGTCTGGGCCTTATTTTTTTTTGATTCCCCCCGGAAAAACGGCTAGGCTGTCTTTTGGGGGGTGACTTAATTCCCTCCCCCACCTAGAGCGGTCCATGTGCACGTAGCTCGCCACGAGGCCATTTCTGTCGGCCGACGAAAGCTCCCCAAAGGCAGATTCCCCAGCCGCTTCGGGGCGAGGCATGGCTGCCCGTGTCCCCTCGCCATTAGGCAGTGTTTTTTGGGCAATGGAAGCTCCCCAAGGGCAGTCACCAGCCACTTCGATCGGCCAATAGAAGTAGCCTCGGGGCGAGCACACATGCACACTCCCCTCACCCCGAGGCAGCTTCTATCAGCTGATGAAAGCTCCCTGAAGGCGGAGTCCCCAGCCGCTTCGGGGTGAGGCGTGGCTGCCCGTGTCCCCTCGTCATTAGGCAGTGTCTTTTGGGCGATGGAAGCTCCCCAAGGGCAGTCACTAGCCACTTTGATCGGCCAGTAGAAGTGGCCTCGTGGCGAGCACACACACACTCCCCTCGCCGCGAGGCCGCTTCTACTGGCCGATCAAAGTGGCTGGTGACCGCCTTTGGGGAGCTTCCATTGCCCGAAAGACACTGCTTAATGGCGAGGGGACACGGGCAGCCACGCCTCGCCCCAAAGTGGCTGAGGACTCTGCCTTTGGGGAGCTTTCACCGGCCAATAGAAGCGGCCTCACGGCGAGGGGAGTGTGCGTGTGTGATCACCCCGAGGCTGCTTCTACTGGCCGATCGAAGCGGCTGGTGACTGCCATCAAGGAGCTTCTATAGGCTGATGTTCTAGCGGTAGTAGATCGGGGTATTCTAGCCTAGGCTACCTGCAGGGCACTCCTAAAGGCAAGTTTTCTCCCCATCACCCCACTCTTCCCCCCCATTTCTCTTCACCTCGTGTAGTTCTAACAAACGATGTGAGAAATGATGGGGAAATGCATGGTTTAAATAGGCCTAAATTTTGGGGGTGGGGCTTAATTTCACCTCATGCCGAGAAATCATGCTGGGCCTTCCTATTGGTAGAGGCCATATTGTTGGAGAAACACGGTAAGTAAGTAGAAAAAAAGAAAAATAGTGATTATACAAGGAAGGAAGGAAGGAAGGAAAATGATTTTTAAATTGCCTAAGAAAAAGTCTGGTGGTTGAACGGTATAAAAGCAAGTACCAGGTGACTAAACATGGCAATATGACTAAAGTGGCAGATTTCCAATGGCTTTTCAGCTAAGATGAAATAATATCTGAGAAGGCCTTTTCTACCCAGTCATCAATCAGTGTCTGGAAAAAGGCTATTGATGAAAACTTATTCAGGTACTTAGGTCCTTAGTCACAGCAATACTAACTATATCAGTAGATATTCTTGTGAACAACAGAGGTGGAAAAGACATTTTCTTAGGGCAGGGGAAGAGAAACTTGGCTCTTCTATCACTTATGGACTTCAACTCCCAGAATTCCTGAGTGAGCCATAAAAGGTTCCCCATCCCTGGCCTACTGGTTTTTCAGTTGTGGGAGAACTCAATTTTTGACTTAATGGGACTGTTTAATATGCCCTACATTTCTATATTAAACAGTCCCATTCAAGTCAAAAATTGATTTTCCCCACAACTGAAAAACCAGTAGGCCAAGGATGGGGAACCTTTTATGGCTCACTCAGGAATTCTGGGAGTTGAAGTCCATAAGTGATAGAAGAGTCAAGTTTGCCTACTCCTGTCTTAGGGTGTGTGTGCACTTTCCTCTCTAAGCGGATTGTTGGATTCTGTTTTAAGGCAGGGGGAGACAGAAAGCAGAACACCGGAATACATCCATCTCATTTCTCAAGCCAGCTCTGTCTGCCCTGAAATCTTGGATCTTAAATTTGGAAATTACATCTCACAGCTAAGAGGGCCTAGCATGTGCCTTTAATGCTGAAAAATTTTCTAGCAATCAGGGAATACTTTCCACAATCATGTAAATTTATGCTTCATTGTGAAATGTGAAAAAGTGGGAAAACTATTTCTCAATGTTTTTTTTAATACTATTTTCCTCAGATAGATGTTGTCTTTTTTTACCTTATAGGGTCAAAAAGGAGAACCTGGAGTAGTACCAGTGGTAAGTTAGTGTGTGTGTGGGTGTATGTGTGTGTATTTGGGTGCGTATTATATTACTCTTTATGACAAGTATGTAGAATGTAATCTTAAAAAAACTATATTTTGGAAGCACTTACGGTATTTTTTTACTGTATAGTTCTGGGCTCTTTAGGAAAAAAATATCTGTACTCCCTATAGATATTAGAATATAGTAGAATAGAATTTTGTTTGCCAACTTGTGAGGAACAGATTCCAGGGATGGAATGCCATGCAAACTGTAGTCCATAACAGAATTTCTCTTGTATCCCCCCTCTGCAAGTAGTCCTCGACTTATGACCACAATCGAGCCCAAATTTTCTGTTGCTAAATGAGACAGTTGTTAAGTGAGTTTTGCTCCCACTTAAAACATTTCTTGCCAGGGTTGTTAAGTGAATGATTGCAGTTGTTAAGTTAGTAACACGGTTGTTAAATGAATCTGGCTTCCCCATTGACTTTGCTTCTCAGAAGGTCACAAAATTACATGATCCTGGGACACTGCAACCATCAGAAATATGAGTCAATTGCTAAATGTCTGAATTTGGATGACGTGACCATGGGGATGCTGCAACTGTTGTAAGTGCGAAAAATGATTGTAAGTCACTTTTTCAGTGCCTTTATAAATTTGAACGGTCACTAAATGAAGTGTTGTAAGTTGAGGACTACCTGTATCCACCTTATATCAAACGCTGGGAGGTTCCCAATCAACAATTAAAACATTAGTAATAAAACAACTTAATAAATATATCTATTTAAACATTAAAAACCTGGCACCGGTATGACTCTTTCTCTTCTATGGGAATTTTTCTCTTAAGGGGATAGAACCATCAAAGCAAGATTTTAATAACTGGACCTAATTACTCACTAGTGTTTGGCACAATAGTGTGTGGCAATTGTGGGAGCTGTCTTTTCTATCCAAACCAAGAAATATCTCCAAATAAAACAGACAGAGAGCAATTGCTTGATTTCTTACTCTTCCCCTTTTTTCTTCTATTAGCCATAACTGTGATGCTGTGATAAGAACTCTATGTACTTGTTCACATCTGATAGCATCACAGATATGTATTTTGGTGTTGTGAGACTATAGTTGTTCTCTCCCCCTCCATAATCTAATTGTATGCTACAGAGGAAATAGGAAAGGCAAATATATCAGACTTCCTGCTGTTTGCTGTCTCCTATTGGATACAAGTTTTGTATGGTTTATCCATTCCCAAATAAGATTGAGCCCAGGGATGGAATGCAAATATTTTTACTACTGATTCTGTGGGTGTGGCTAGGTGGGTGTGGCCATGTGGCTGGGTGGGCATGGCTTTTTTTTTGCACCCCCAGCGCTCCATTTTTTTTGCCTCCTGGGCCTTAGGGAAGCCTCTTGGGGGGTGTTTTTGCTTCCAGGAAGCCTTCCTAAGGTCCAGGAAGAGAAAAAAATGGAGCGCAGGGGTGGGACGCAGCACCCCCATATGCCCCTTTTTGCTTCCTGGACTTCAGGGAAGCCTCCTGGGTGAAACAGTAAGACAACGAGGGGATCCCAGCATAGCTGATCATTGGAACAGCTGATTGTCAGGAGGAAAAAAAGAAAAATACCTTAAGAAAAATACCTGGGCGGGGGACAATGCAGTCAGCAATGTAGGGCATGTGTGCGATGTTGTGCATGCACGATAAGGACTGACTGGGCGGGGAGGGGTGGGGCCAGACGGGCATGATTTGCTGGTTCTGCAAACTGCTCAGAATTGTAACAACCGGTTCTATAGAACCAGTCCGAACCGGTAGAATCCTACCCCTGGTTAAGCCTCCAATACAATCATTTTTATTGCATTTGTGCATAATGCAGGCTCTTGAGACAGGGTCCAATTGAGAGCCACTAGTTTGTTTGGGTTTCGATGTTTTAATTCGATGGAAATGCAATGGGGCCTCTCCACAGTTTGTTTCTGGTAAGCATTTTACTGCAAAAAGACAGAACAAAACAAAGATTGCAGTATATCCTACAGTGGATTATGATGATGTACTCCCACTTATTTAACTATTGGATTGATCTCTCTTGCACGCTTCTTTCCCAAATAGAGCAGTAGTTTCAAATATACCTCCAGTTTTTGCACCCTGTTTAAAAATTTTTTAAAAAGTAATATAGTCGTACCCAGAATTTTAACTTTACAAGTGCTGGTGTTCCTTCCCCAACCTCCTGTTTAGATATTTGGTACAATTGCTAAATTATTTGTGTCATTTATAAAACAAGGAGGTAAATGCTATTTTTAAATTATTGATTCAAAATATTCATACAATATTTATTTATTTTATTTTTATCCCACCTTCATTTTTTAAAATAAATAATTCAAAGACAGTGAACATATCTATTGGTCTTTTCTCCTCTTGTTTTCCCCACAACAATAACCCCATGAGTTGGGTTGGGCTGAGAGAAAGTCGTCTAGCTGTTTTCATGCTTAAGCCAAGACTAGGACTCACAGAAAACCAATTTCTAGGCCAGTACGTTAACCACCATCTTTCTCTTCTCTTCCCTTTTCTCCCCTCCCTCCCTCCCCCTCTCCTCTCCTACCCTCCCTATTCTTTTCCTTCAAATCAATTACATATTTATGTAATTATTTCTGCATTATTTACAATACCGATACCGAATAGTTTGGAGGGTTTGCCCTCATTCTTACCATTCGTGCCCCCTTTAGGGGATAGAAGGATTGGTATGAGATGTTGTAAATTTTATATTCTGTAGTATCAGATAGATGGGAAAGGGGGAAAAATAAAGAAGATAGAGATTTGAAATAAAGAATTCCACATTGATATTTAAAAAAAAAATTCTCTCATTTGTAGACTAGAGCCTTCATATTGTACAGACGAACAAAACAGAATTGGTTGTCTCTTGCTGAAAATATAAGAAGCAGTTACAGTTCTTATTTGTTTCATAACTATATCGCAGATGACACATGTTCAGATTCTTTTCAGCACATTCTGTGCTTATATTTTAGTCCTTAAAATGCTTTTATTTTTTTAAAAGTAATCTGCAAAAAGATGTTCTTGAAATAATTCAGGATACTGACAGTACACTAAAGATCAGAGATAGAATGAATTCCAGGATGGATTGAGAAGTGTCAAGACCAACAGGCTGAGAATTTGTCAGAGCCCATGGCTTTATGTGGAATGAGCGGGGATTGCTAATCTATAACATTTGACCTTCCTTATTTTTATTACAATTGCTTAGTCACCTCTTCTTGCTAATCAAGTGAGTAATGATCAAAGGAAAGAAACAAATGATTTTTTAAAAAACCGATCTTGTCTTTTTATTTGGTGCCAACCTCTTCTGTTCTGGTGCTTTCCAGAAGTATTAAAGAATTATTCCCAGTTCCCAGAATCCCAAGAAATTTGGCCATTGGGAGTTCTAGAATTATAGGAGTTGAAGTATAGCACATCTACGGCAATATACTGGGAAATTGGTGTAGGAGTAGGACTTAAAGAAAGAAAGAAAGAAAACCCAGCAAGCACATAAACAGCAGGAACACTGAAGAGGAAGCCTACCTTGAAAGCATTTTGAAGGCATGAAACTGACAGTGATGTGCAACTGTGTTTATCTTCATTATCTGCATATGTTTGAGTAAAAAGCTTATGAAACAGAACAATAGACACTAAATAAATAGACAAATAAATAAAGTCTAGCAATTGTTCATATCATTTCTCTTTCCCTTTTCTTTCCTTAATAGAAATTAGTAATGAGAAAAAGATGATATGCTTGCCACAGTCATTACTGTGTCCTATTAACAGTTATGACTTTTTTTTTAAATAGGTTACAGGTATACGAGGACGGCCAGGACAATCTGTAAGTATTATTCCTGGTATTCTTTGTAAAAGTGTGAATAGTTTCCTAATATTTTTAGGAAATAATGATCACTTTTAATAATTGCTTAACTTTTTTTTAGTACTATGGGAATGGAAGTATTGTGGAGAGATAGGGAATCCCTGCAGGATTATTGCTATTACTTAATGCTGAATCTGTGGCTTTGGGAGAAGTTCTACATTACAATCCAGCTATGTGAAGATAGATATGGATTTCTTTATCAATGATTTGGCTAAGTGGCAAATTCTAGGGTACTTTATTGCCTTGCATAGTATGGGCTATCTTATTGGGACTCTTCCAATATTTTTATGGACTGAGATTAAGATCTGAAGTTCTTTTTTTTACTCCATATAATGGAAAAATCAGCTAATTTGTTTGTTATTATCAATTTTCTTGTTAGTTCCTTAATAAGTCCCAGAAGCCCAGTAGTTCTTATCACACAATTTAAAAATGACTGTGACAATGTACAGGTAGTCATCAACTTACAAATTTTGCTTGCTAAGCAATGCAGTCATTAAATGAGTTATCACATGACCAGATTCAATGTTATGTCCATTTTTACAGCAGTTATTAAGGGAATCATCTGGTCATTAAATGAATCACATAATCATTAAGTAGATTTGGGTCTCCTGTTGACTTTGCTTGTTGGAAGCTGGCTAGGAAGGTTGCAAATTACAATCACTTGCATGCAAGATGTTGCAACCACTTTAAATCAAGCTGGTTGCCAACTGCCATACTTGTGATCACATGACAGCAACGGTGTTACAACAGTCATAACTTTGGGCATAGGTTGTAAGTCACTTTTTCCCAAGGCCGTCATACATTCTCAAGGCAAACTGCAACAAAATATGCAATTATAGTGTAATTTCAAATGTGTGGTATTGTCACCATTTTATTAAATTATTAAATTATTAAATTATTCTAATAATTGATTTAGGGACCTCCAGGTTCACAAGGACCAAGAGGAGCTCGAGGACCCAAAGGAAGACCGGTGAGTTGGAAAGCATTCTTCCAAGAACAATTTAATAGCACTTAGTAATAGCACTTAGACTTATATACCACTTCACAGTGCTTTTAGAGTACTCTCTAAGTGGTTTACAGAGTCAGCATGTTGCCCGCAACAGTCTGGGTCCTCCTTTTATCCACCTCGGAAGGATGGAAGGCTGAGTCAACCTTGACTTCAAACTCTCAAACTGAAGTCAGCCAGCAGTCAGCAGAAGTAGCCTGCAATACTGCATTCTAACCACTGCACCACTGAGACTCTCTATTAATAGGAATAGATTGCTATTCCTTTCCCAGATGCCCAAGATGAAATGTTTTGGGGTCAGAGCTACCTAGGTTTGGCTTCTGTTTGAAAGTCAAAATGATTAAAGTTTGGTTGCATTCTATAATGTTTGGTTTCTAAATATGAATGTGTGTTAGCTTCAGGAAAACATAATAAACATTCACAGCAATAACACTTAGACTTATATACTGCTTCATAGTGCTTTAAAGGAATTCTGGGAGTTGAAGTCTACAAGTCTTAAAGTTGCCAAGGTTGGAGACCCCTGCTTTACAGTCCTCTATAAGCGGTTTACAATGTCAGCATATTGTCCCCAACAATCTGGGTCCTCATTTTACTGATTTTTGAAGGATGGAAGGCTGAGTCAACCTTGAGCCAGTTGGGATTGAACTCCTGGCAGTGGACAGAATTATAGTAAATGCATTGTAATAATTATAAAGGCACTGCTCTTAGCACACTCCAAGAGATGTACCTGGAAGTTTTTCAGTCTCTAGCTCCCTCCAAATCTCTCTCTTGCACTCTGATTCATTTTTATTTCCCAGACTTTGCATTCTTTCACATATAATGAGTCATATACTAAACAGTTCTGAACTTCTGACATTCCATGGATGACTAAAAAAAAAAAATCAACCTCTGATAATTAGTCCTCAGGAAAAGACATCTACCATTTATCCTTGGTATTTTTTTCCCCAAAAGATGAAGTATCCTTCCCCCTGGTTAGAAAGTATAATACCAAATATAGCCATTTAGTCCACTCTGGATTTTTTTAAAAAGGATTCCAAACATAAAATTTCCAATCACTAATTCAAACTAAAATATATAAACATTCCAGTCACCAATTCAAGGATAAAGGGAGAATAATAGTGATTAAGCATAACAGTAAATTTAGAGGTATAAACCAGAGCAGTTCAGTGGTTAAGGACCAACAAATCAGCATAAAAACAAATACAAACACACTTTGACTGAGCACGGAAAGGCATAGTGAAATATTTCTTTGAAAACACTGAAGTTAGGCCACTAAAGAAAAAAAAAAACCCAACCTCTTGTATTTTTTTGATTAATGGACTCAAGAGCCACAGCTGAAATGAGATGAGCCACTCCTTTCAGTTTTTAACTTCCAAACTACTTAGAATTTTAAGAGTCAATACCAATGTCATGAAAACTGACAGAAAAATATAAGTATTACTTTAAAAAGTCATGTTCTAATAATACAAATAAGTGTAAACCTACTACCTGAGTATCCCGAAGGTGCTTTTTAAAGGGGCAACTGGACTTTCTGGTGTTTTTTTTTTTTTTGAAGATGCTTTGCTTCTCTTCCAAGAAGCTTCTTCAGCTAAAGAAGCTTCTTGGATGAGAAGTGAAATGTCAAAGAAAAAACAGAAAGTCCACTTGCCTCTTAAAAAAGCACCTTTGGGACAACCATGACCTGGATGACTGAGAATTTCCATAGATTACTACCTGAGTAGCAGCAAGTAGCATCTCCCTTGAGTGAAGATATGGTCATTCACATGCATATTGTTCTATAGAGGTCTTGTCATGTACAGTTGCTCATGTGAAGGCTTCCACACAATCCTGCAGTGTACGGTCACATATATAGTTATGGCACTATATATTCTCCACGTCAGTAGGTCACCCTGTAAATAAAAAAGATCACATCTTTACTGATGTCACAGCATGGCTTATGGGAGGGAAGATCTAGTTATCAATACTTGCATGTTAAACTAAAAATCTATGGAACAGAAGGGGTATAACATGGTTCCATCTAGTTAAAGTAGTCAGATTAATGCTCCAATATCTTCAGTGCCACCTCCAAGGACAATATCAGATGGGATCCAACCTTTGTGTTGTAATATGAAACATAGAATTTGAGAAAAGTCTTCAGTGAACCTACGATTAGGAAGGAATTTGTAATACTTGCAAAAAGGGAGAGGATAAGTAAAAGACTTTAACTAGGAAAGAAGAGAAATATTAACCAATATAGCTTCTTAGGCAAGTCATACTTATTGAAATTCCCATTTCTGTAGAAGCCCTATCCTGCCTGATATCAGCCTAACTACATCTTTTTCATTAGGATGAAAGGAGGAGGTTGCCAGAGAACCTGGGATATGAGCTACTGAAGTATACTGAAGCTTCCTGCTGAAAAGATGCAGGAAATATGACAGTGGGCAACAGCTGTATCACTGGCAGTCATTTATAGCATTGTATTTCTGTAGAATGTAGCAGGCTGCTTGTTCTGATAACTCAATTTACATTTGCTAGATTTTTAGCAGAAGTAGGCAATTTAATTTAACCAAACTTGGCCATAATATCTGAAAGGTACCAAGATGCTAACTTTTGAACCCTGTTATAGAGCTGCCTTAAGAGCTTTACATTTAAGGGGCTGATAGATATTTAAGGAAATATATCCATTTTGGTTGCGTAATAATATAGTAATAATTCTCACTACCTCTAAGAGATTAATGAGAATTAAACATTAGTGTAAACATTAGAATTAAACACAGTGTGTGTGTATTGAATTAATTTATATGAATGAATAATCCAATGATTTGACAATTTTATCATTGCTGAAATATTTCTCAAATACATTTAAGTATTGAGTAAGAGGTAGTACAAGAGTATGTGTGTTGAAGCGCCATCTAGTGGCCTTCTTTAGCAAATATCGTTTAGAAGTTGCCTTGAATTGTGGAAATAATTGACATAAGAGACCAGTATAGCTTACCTTTAGATAACTTATTTTTGAACTTTTCATATGTTTCTCAAATAATGAAGCCATCATCTTTTTTGCAGAAAAACGTCAGTTTTCACTTCAGTTGTATTGATGAGCTTAGAACTTTGATTAAGTATTTTTGTGGGTAGCTGTTTCTACTTTTAATTGTTTATTTGGTCTACAATTTTATACTCTCAGCATAACGTCCACCAATAAACTGCAATGTAACACCAACATATAAAGATGTATCATATAGGCCTTTAACATGTAACGACAGATGTATCTAAGATGTAAATGTATAGAATGGAGTGGTCCCATCTCCAATTTCCATATATCAGAAGATTTGACATTTTAATATGAGAAGATGAAAATTCTTACATATTTTAAATTAATAATTATAATACTGAAGGTTTAAAAACTCTTGACATATTACTTGCAAAGCAGGTATCAGAGACAATATACATACCAGTTAAGTAGGTTACAAATAAATGATCTTTACATGCAGATTTTTAAAAAAAACCAGAAATCAGTGAAAATCTGATTTCTTAAAACCAGGTTTTACTTGGGCAGAATAATCCAAACCCTTCCACTCAACTCTAACAGAATAAAAATATGGGAGAGACTTGGCTGATAGAGGGGGAGGGCTGGTGGGAGGCACATTTATCCCACACATTAAGCCTATTCAAAGTTCCAAGGTGGTGGGTCCAACATGGAAAATTTCAGGAATGGGTATTATGACTTTTAAACTCCTGAATCTTAAAACTCCTGGTTTCCCTGAGACAAACCCAGATGTTTTCCCGCACATTAGCTTAGTTAAAAACCTAGTAAAGCTGCTGTATCCTACCATGGCTAGCTTGAAACCAGGTTTCCCATAACAACTCACTTTTCCTGATTTACCACTGAAATCCCTTAATCTGCAACTTTTACAAAATAATTTGTCAAAAGCCAAGTTAATCATTTCCCCCCTCACATTATTTGCGTATTGAGTGTTAAAATAAGTTCTTAAGTAGCACTTAGATATTCTTTTCTTGAGCTTCTTTATTCAGCTATCAACTTCATTCATTCACTTTCAAAGCAGTAGAGCAGTGCATAAATGGAGGAGGCTGCAGAATATATTAGGTTACCAAGAGACTTCAGGTTTTATTCCAGATTTATGAAATATTTGCATTAATTATTTTGTGATTTTTCCAGCTGTCTTCTAAACAGCCTGTTCTACTTTTAATATACATTCTTGCTCCATACTTTGCCAATATAAATCTGGAATGGTATCCATAGACTTTGAGATATTTCTCTGGATTTATGCCTGCATAAATGGAAATAAAAGCTGCTTGTGTGCATGCCTGTTGGTATTTAAACCTTGTGCAGATGCAAATTATGCAGTTTTGCCTTTATTAAGTAAATATCTCAAATCCACAAAATTAATTTCCTGGTATAAATATTAATTTACTGCAATTTCAACATATATCCATTCCAAGAATTTTTTTTATCCACAAAAGTCAAGGATTTTCATCAGACAAAACACTGCTGATGAAAAATGTCAATCACCAGTTTTATAATTCTTCCAGGAGAAAATGTGAGAATGAAGTTAGCAAAATCTTTCATTTGGGGTCTTGTTATTTAAACTTGTCTTACTTTGCAATAAGCTACATGGTATAGATTCCATTCAAACAAACGATATTTTTTTCCATGAGATCTATTAGTTTATCATGTGAGATTTCATTCAGGTCCAATGTAAAGACTATTGGTAATTTAATGCAGTGAAGACTCCATAGGAAGAATGTCATTGTGGAACTAAGTTTGTGGATACTGTTCTGACCCATCCTTCACGGAGCCCCACTCAGCAGCCTACTCATGAGAAGAAGCCCCCTTTTATTTGGAAAGGCAGGAATTCACACATTCACTGAGAAAGCTCCAGATTACACACCCGTAAGTGATTCACAAGCCATAGCAGACTCTTGAGTTCCCTACAGGGAGTCTCAATTAGAACTTTAATCCCAACACAAAGAGCCCTGACCAACCTGATCAGTGGCAAGGAAATCCTGGCAAGAAATCCTGAACTCTTCTAGAGCATGAATGGATGTCTCCAACAACCATGTCCCCACATCCCTCCTCCTTATATTCCAGCCAGGGAGGGGGTTGTTAACATCTCCTTCTTTTCCTGGACAGTCCTGTGTTGCTCTCCTCTCAGCACTTCTCTGTGCATACACGTGTCTAGGAAAGGGAGCACCTGTTCCTCCCCCTTGCTCAGCTCAGGCCCCCAAAACAGTTGTCTCTCCGCCTGAGTATGAGTGGATGGGCCCTGCTCTGCATCTGGCTCTGAGACCTCCTGCTCCTCAGAGCCTTCTGCCAGCTCCGATGGTAACCCAGGCACCCGCTCCATCTCCTCTGACTCATCTGACTCGACTGCCATCTCTGCTGTCAGTCAACAAACCACAACAGATACATCAATTGTTGGGCGTAATGATTGAAATGATGTATACAATGTCTGCTTGATGGATATGTGTGCTTTTTAAAAATGTGCTTTATATCCAATCTCTTTTTAGGGTGCCCGTGGTCCTCCAGGAATAGATGGGGAACCTGGTGTACCTGGACAACCTGGTGATCCTGGACCTCCTGGACAACCATCCACAGGGCCAGATGGCATAGGCAGAGTGAGTGACAGTAGTAATTAATTCCATTTCCTACATGTGCATGCTGTGGTAAGAATAAACTGAATAATAACTGAGTACACAAACTGATTTGCAAATGCATCAGATTAAAATGTAATTGGTTAGTTTGTCACAATGTACAAAAGGCTTCAAATCTGAAATGTTCCTGTTCAAAATGGATGGTTTGATCCTACTGGTAGTGGTTGCAGATAATCCTCGACGAATGACTAATTCTTCATAATTGAACCTGCAATTCCAGTTGTAAGCCAAGACAATCATTAAGGGGGTTATCAGGGGACTGTGGCCGATTTTGCAAACTTTATTTTGCAGTGATTGTTAAATATAGCTATTGTAAAGTGAATGTTGCAATTATTAAGCAAAAGCTGTAGTCATTAAGCAAACACCACAGTTGTTAAACAAATACTGTGGTCATTAAGCAAACCCATTGTTCGCTATGTGCTATTGTTTTGCCAGAAGCTGGAAGTAAACACAAATGGCAGCCACATGATTGTGAAGTAACATAAATGGCGGTCACATGATTGGGATGGTGCAAATGAACATCAATGTGGGCCAGTTGCTGAGTGCCCAAAATGCAGTCATGTGACAGCAATAGGGTGGATGACATAATTTCGAATTCAGGTCATATGTCCCTTTTTGGGGGTCTGACATAACTTTGAACAGTTGGCAAGCAGCTGGTCATAAGTTGAGGACTGCTTGAATTGGAAACTCTTCCAGAATGCTGAAAATAACCTTTTCTTGAACTCAAAACAACTGTGAACAGGGCATGTCAACCTGAAAATGTTTTGAATTTGGAGCATTTTCACATACCGAGGCTGAGTGTATCATGTCATCCCTACCCTTTGCTGAACTGCCAAATTTAAGGGATAACATTTCATGAACTGCCAAATTTTGTGACATATTTAACAAAATTAGATCTGATTATAATTAATAAAATTGTGTTCTGTATGTATAATTTTCCACCTTCTGTCACAATAAAAACCACCATGTGAACTCAAATTTGGGATTCGTTGAAAGCAGAAGTGGTATTCAGCAATTTCTGACCAGTTCTGGAGAACCAGTAGCAGAAATTTTGAGTAGTTCGGAAAACCGATTTTACAGTATCCTTCCCCTGGAGTGGGGTGGGAGTGGAGATTTTACAGTATCCTTCCCCTGCCACGCCCACAAAGCCATGACACGCCCACCAAGCCATGCCCAAAGAACCGGTAGTAAAAATTTTTTGAATCCCACCACTGGTTGAAGGGTTTCTAAATCTTCTGGAAGCCACACACATTATGCATTGCTGTAAACATGTGATAAAATAGTGATGATTTCCTATGGACTCCCATCAGATTGCTATTAATTATACTACACCTTTATGATTCCTGATAGGGTTATCTCATTCTCACAATCCATGCACATCAATAGAAATTTATATTTTCTCTTTTCTCTGTGTGAGATTTCAGAGGAAAATGGAAGTTCCCAAACATTTTTCTGCAACTGTCACTGGGGATTTTTATAACTATTTCTACCTCTGTGCTCCCACTGCCACTGATTACAATCTTTCTGTATAGTTTTGGGCAGTTTAAATCTCAATGAGTTCAATCCTAGATGCAAAAAAGGATGGCAGAAATAATCCTGCCCTCTCCAGTGCTTCAGAAGAAAATAATATTTGAGGCTACAGGGTTGTTTCTTTGTGTCTGTAAAATTTATACTTGTTATTCATAATACTTAAGAGGAATTATGTATTTCAGTGATACTCAAGTTACCTGTGACATTTCCAGAGTTAGATCAACAAAAAAGAAGCATAAAATGTTAGGAGTCATGCAAGACAAAGACTATTTTGTTTGCGTGAGCAGTTTCAAATATGTGCTTATATTGATGTTTAATTTGGTCTTTTGTAGCCAGCATGTGATGCATCTGCCCTGCAGGTCATGAATTTGACAGTCCTGAGCTAGATGGACATGCCATAGCCAACAACCTGAATGAGGATCTAAGCCACAGAGAAATATAACAAACTTTTTTGGTAAATTTTAGGTTTAAAGCTGTCCTTAAATAGTAAAAACACAATACAATGAGTGAAGCATTGGTTAATGTGCCCTTGCCTCTTCATAATTGTTACTGTGCCCTGAAGCTAAAATATCTCTAGAGAAGTGTGGCCCTTGGGTGGTTTATCAATTTGTGATATAATACTCAAACATTATAGTAAACATACTGTACTTACGCAGCTGAATTTGACTGAAATAATGAGGAGAGAAAAGTGGTAGATATGAACAAGAATTTCCCTATTCAGTTATGACATTGAGACACTTCTGTTTTTTTCTTCCATAATCTATAGCTACTTTTTTTAAGAATAAAATTTTAACAGCATGTAGTGTTTTATTCATTTGTAAACACATTAATTTACATCAAACACAGTAAACACATCAAAGAAGGTGAAGCATAATTTTTCTCATGTTTTTAAATACGAGGCTCACAAATGAATGTCACTACACAATTCAATCACCTCTGAATTTATCATTGCAATGATTTAAAACAGTACTGATAGTATTGTTTATTCCCAGAACATCTCTGATGATGGGAACAAAAATACCTTTCATACATTTTTTGAATAACATAACTTCTTATGTTTACAGCCATTTACATCTCAGCTGGCCGGACAAGATGATGCCTTTTCACAGATGATGATGCCTGGTCCAGTGGTAAGGATATGGATTGATTAATGAATGAATGGAATATGTATGAAATAAGCACTGAAAAAAACAAAGGTGGAACTGGGTCTTATAGTATGGTAAATTCTGTTCACAGTGCATCCCAACAGCTTTATACATTGTGATAGAGAACTTGTCAAACAATAGAAGAGATATCTAAAACGCCTGGAGTGATCTGGGAACTCTATGAACAGTGGCGTGACATAGTTACTATGTACATAGGTAAAGCAAGTTCAAAGTATATTCTCAGTTGTTCAATTTCTGCATCCCAAATGGCTCAATTATTCTTGTAGGAGGCTTTTTAATATGTCCCCTCATGGATGGTTTTGTAGACATATTTTGGTAAATCTGCTCTGTGAAATGTCAGAATATAAACTTTTCTCCTGGTAATGTTGCTTATAGTTGCCACTCTTCTATGATCTGCAGGATATTTTTAAGTGTTTATTGAGAAGGAATTAATATTTCCTCAAATATTAATCAAATAAATGGCTATCAGGACTAGGGGATGCTATGATAGTAGTGTTCTAATATTTGAGAGGCTGCTACAACCTATTTTCCAAAGCACCAGAAGACAAGACAAAAAAGAATGGATGGAAACTAACCAAGGAGAGAGGCAACCTAGAACTAAGGGAAAATTTTCTAATGGTGAGAACAATTAACTAGTGGAATGCCTTGTCTTCCAAAGTTGTGATGCTCTTTCACTGGAGGCTTATAGAAGAGATTGGATAGCCACTTTGGTTTGGAACAGTATAGGGGCTCCTGTTTGATCAGGGGATTGGACTAAAAGACTTCCAAGATCCTTTCCAACTCCGATATTCTGTTATCCTGTTAAATGCTTTTCTGGACTTTTCATGCTGTAAAGTAATTTGCCATTATTCTGCGCTCTGTGTGTGGTGGATGGATTATGCTTGCCCTTCCCATTGCAGCAACTTTCATAGATTTAAATGTTGGGATTGAGATTTAAAGTCAGAATTTATAGGCCAAAAGACAGCTAAATATCTAGTGAATTCTAGAAAAATGAAAGGTGGACAACGTTTTCCATTCAAAGGGTTGCACATTTTTTTGCAAAATGAATTTTTGCCCCTGAAGAAACAACCTTGAGAACATTTTGAAGGGAAATTTGAAAATCTTTAAGGCAATTTTTCAAGGTAAAATCACATTTCCTAAGATTCACATTTTGCTATTTGAGCACAATTAATTTTTAACCACCTGGGTGTAGATTGTCAATCTCTGAGATGGATCAAGGAGTTAATGTTGATTCTATGTCCAATTCACTTGTATCTTTTCAAGAGCCCATTTCAATATTAAACTGCAAAAACACATATACAAATATGCATATACAATGTAATTTTAATAAGAGTCAGGCTGACTCACTTTAGGTACGAACTGCATAAAATTTCAAGAATCTTTAAATGTTAACAACCCAGTTGAGCTTTGCCTTATATCATGAATAGAAATGACATAGGGAAAATATTTAAGGTTTTGTTTGTTAAATATGTAAATCCAAATCTAAGAAAGAAATTTTATATGTATTTGCTGGAAGTATAAAAGTTCAGGTATTTTATGTGGAAAAAACTATTTTGCTGTTTTAATGTATGAAATTTGTGAAACAAGAAAATATGAAATGTAATAGTAATAATAGACTAGATACTATTGGAATTAAATAAATTTACATCAACTGGAGAATAGTAAGAGAGATTAAAATGAGTATGATAAGAAACAATGTTTATTTTCATACAGGTGACTTGAATGTGCTTTATATGAGAGAAAGTGAAAGTTCTTTTAAAAATTCATATCAAATTTTTCTTTTATGGCAATGTTTATATTCATAAGCAAACTTTAATGTTAGTGTATTTTTGGGAGGTGTCTGTTTCTTTCTTCTTTGGGATGAAAGGCAGAATCAGAAGTTGTTAGTTACTGAAACATATAGAATAGTTGTTTTACCTAAGGCTGCAATCTCTCTACTGACTTTCTTGGCATATATTTTAACAATTATATTGAAATTCTAGTATTTTTTTCATAATTTTCTTTGCATTTTGTCCTTTTAAACTTCTTTTGACAACATGATGCCTGCATGTTGCATTTCTGCACTAGTTCTCATTATTATTTGATTAATAAGCTTATATGTCTTTCTCCCTAGGGTCCTGTGGGTCCAAGGGGATCTCCAGGTAATCATGGGAAACCAGTAAGTAGTTTATTTCAAAATACTTGCATGTAATTAAAATTATTATATACTGACTATATTTGGTGCCCTCCAGACATACAGGTCATACTGACTTGTGGATTATGGAAGTTAAAGCTGATGTGTTTGATGATACCATATTCGAGTAGGCTGAATTATATTTACCTTTAGGGAATAATTTTGTATTTATATATCCCATGTCTCCTCATTTTACAAGATGGTGCCTGAAATTATTTGTTTACATTTTATTCTCCTTCACAGTTTAACTTATGTGCATGAGTTATCTTAAAAGTTGTTGAAATAAACCAGCTTTATAACTCACAACATAGGTTTAAAATGGCTAATTGCAGGAATCAAACATCAGTTAAGATTACCCATAGTTTATCTTGATGCAGATGTACTCAGAACACTTGCTTGAATTAAAGTGGAGGTAGAGTAGTCCGTATCACTGTTTAGGAGCTGCTTTAATTTCCATAAAGCTTGCATGACAAGTTACTGCAAAAGGAACGGTGAGTTACAGGTTTTCCCCTTGTTCTAGTTTTTCTAAATAATATATATGTTGTACCATCAATGGCATTCATAGTGTACAGTGATGATACTAAAATTGAATACTGATGTCATGATATTTGACCCAAGTACATACAGTAAGTCACAAAATTTGAATAATATTGTCACACAGTTTCTATTATTTACCCTCTTGGCTTGTGTCTGCCCTCTTTATGTATTTATTTATGTCTGGTGCACTCTTAGAGACTCTTTAGCTTTGCAAGCAAGACAAAAATAAAAGTAAAACAAATACAAAGTTACAATTAACACAATAAAACATCTATAATACAAGTAAAGCCCAAGGCTGTGCAGGGACCATTTCTTGTTTAATTTAACAATTTGTGATGTGAGATGTATTCTTGCATTTCTTTATTTTTTTGTTTGTTGATGCTTTTCTTTTTACAAATAGCTCAAAACTGCAAATATATCCAACATACCTCTCTCCTTCTATGTATTTTAATTTTTGCATTATTGTCATCGTTTTTATTTTTTTTTAAAAAGTTTGCTGCCCAGTATAACCTGGTGAGATGGATGGTCATACAGGAATGAATAAATGAACGCACGAATGGATGGATGGATGGATGAATGGATGTATGGATAAATAAATGAATGAAAAGAAAATGAGTATAAGTAGTCAGCAGTAATGGACATTTAGTTATAGGATTAAACAGTTGTTAGTGAGATTTCATACCCTAAATGCTCCTGGAACAATTCACTTTTTAATAACTTGAAGAAAACCAACAAAGGAAAATCTGATCAAACTTCTGGAAGGAGGCTATTCTGAAACACAGCACTGCAATAGCAGCACCTATATGCCTCTGCCTCCTCATGTCATGGAATGGGGGTTCTCTTTAGATATATCAGCTGAGCAGGTTGAAATCGGCAGGAGAAGAAAAAGCCACTAGGACCTTGATGCCAAGCCGTTTGGCTTTTAAAAGTTAAACCAGCACATTAAAAGGCATATGGGAAGGGGTCAGCAGAGAGTTTAGAAAAGAGGTGTCACAATCTCATGTCAACCTATACCAGTTAACAATTGAAATGTTGCATTCAGGACCAATTGAAACTTCCAGGGAGTCTTTGAAGCCCCATGTAGAGCACATTGTGGTAGTTTAGTCCGGAAAAGTAAATACTGAGGGCATTAGTCCTCCTTGAATTCCAGATAGAGCTGGAGCAGAACAATATTCCTCACCCCCAACCAATCAGCTACAGACTCTAAGTTGTCCATTGGCCAGGAATCTCAGAAAATTTCCCAATGAACTGCTTTCTTCAGGGGTAGTGCTATTGTATCAAGATTTATGACTGAAAACATCAAAAAAACTTGAACAAAGTTAACCTGTTTTGGTTGGGTTCAATTTCAGTTTCTTTTGTCTCACAGGCTTCAGAGAAATTACAAATTAAGAAATTAGGATTATGGAAAATCAATTCTGGACCTAGGCTATCTTAATTCTTATAACATGTTACATTTATTTTTGTGGATTGTTTTCATTAATTGATAGACTACATCATTGTCCTGATTTGCACCATTTCTAATATAAATGTGTGTTTTATTTGTTTATTTATGTTTTAGGGTCCTATTGGACCCCCAGGTCCTCCAGGTGAAGTTGGTGACCCAGGATCCATGGTAAGGTCAATTATGCACATATTACCTAGTGGTGGGGGAAGTAGCATAATAGAGCTTTATAAGTTGTAGTATGTCACAAGTTTTTCAGAAGTTATGTTGATCAGTCTGGGAAACAAACTTCTTATCAAAATAGGTGTAGACAGTACAATTTTGATTGCTTAATTTTCAGTTGTATTTTTGTGCATTAAGCATTTTAAAATGTCATTTAATTTCTTAATGTACTGTAAATTTTCTCTGCTAGGGTTCACCTGGTGTTCGTGGCCCAGAAGGTCCTCCAGGAAAACCTGGTGAAGATGTAAGTTTTAAAATAGATTTCCCAACAGTATGCTGCTAGACATGTTACATAATAATAATCAGGAAACAATCTTAAAATCTGAAAAGTTTATTTAGCAAAGCAAGGAAACTTATATCAAGGCAATTGTCACCCATACAACATTTTTTTCTAAAATAAGATTCTGTTCCATCTGTTGAAAGGAAAGGTCAAGAAGTTCTAGAAGGGAGTAGGCACTAAATGAAATTCTGTTTTTCACTGCTTTTTGAAAAAATAATAAAGCAAGCATTTGTGCTAACCTCCATGTATGTTGAGATTTAACTTCCATGGGCTCAGAATTCTGGGAATTTGTTCCTAAGTTGTCCAGAAGTTATTAGATTGAGGAAAGGTGGCATAGTCAACTGTATAATAATGTGATGCAATACATTTTGATCTATTTTCAGTACTAAACTGAACATTTTCAATATTAAATATTCTCTGCCTAAATGGGGAGGAAATAATTTTTTATTTTATTTTACACTGATCACTGACATTAGTGGCTAAATAATACTGCAACCATTTTCACACAGATGCAGTTGTCCATGAAAATATGAAAGATTGATTTATCCTAAGTTACATGAGTACAGTTGGCTTGATCCAACGCACCTGATTTTGAGCCATTCCTCACAATCCATTGTAACTCAACTCTGAATACTATTATCCTTTGGTATAATGTGGTATATGGCACAGAAGATTATTATAGATATTATAGATTTTTTTTTAATAAAAAAAATTGTGCTTTATGACAGTGGAAGACATTCCTGGGGGTTCAGAGTTACTTTTGTATAAAACTTAATGTCGATATTTATTTCCTGCTATGCCACATATATTATATAGTATTATAAAGCATAATCTGATATTAGTTTTTATAACAACCATCAACTGCATAGTGAGACAGCTTTCATTAGTAGAGCAATTGCTACATTCTAATAGAACTTCATTGTCTCTTGGAACCTTGATTTACCTGCTATTGCTGATGTGACAATTTCAAAGAAAAGAGAGGTACACTTAGTATAAATGCTAGAGTGTTACATGTGGTTTAACAGAAACCTTGGTTGGTAATAGTTACACATATGTATATATCTTTTTGAAAATATTGCTGCAATACTCAAAATGCCTTATTTTTGAAGAAATAAACTTTCAAGAATTTCTCACACCTTCAGCCTGAATGACAATAACATGTTTCAGAGAAAAGAAACTGGCTGATGTGCAAGATATTATAACACTATCTATTTATTTATTAAACAAATTTTAGGGTGCCCAACTCACACAAGGTTACTCCAGGTGACTTACAACATTAAAAACCACAGCATATAACCAACTCCCTCCCTCCCTGGCAGTAGCAACCCAATCAGATCAACCACTGCTTTTATTTTGTGGTTTTATGACTTTATTGTTTTGTTCTTTTAGGGCGAACCTGGCAGACCAGGGCAACCTGGGGAAGTTGGATTTCCAGGATCTCCAGTATGTACAATTAGCTGTTGTTTTTTTTCTGAACAAATCATACATTCAAATCTGGAATAAAATGTGTAAAGGATCCTAGACTGCACTTACACCATTTATCAACAAGTGTATTTTTTAAAAACAAGAAAAGGTAAAAGACCTGTATCTTGTTAGCCTTAATTTCTTAAACTTACCTGGTTTTTAGAACGCACAAGAAAGTTTATCTTTGGAAACTATATTGTAACATAAGAAGGAGAGCTGGGGATAGAAGATAAGAACAAAAAAAATGTACGTATAGTTCTTGACTATTAGTCTTAAATGCGAAAAACGACATGTAAAAGAACAAAAGATGTATCAATCCATATCCATAGAGTTTCGATGGCAAACTGAATGTTAATGCAATGCACTCAGGAAATGCAGCTAAATAGACAAAGAATTTTCATATGGATAGTATCTGTGTGTGTCATAGTTGCTAGATAATACAGGACTTATACTGGTAGTCTTTGACTTACAACAATTCATTTAGTGATCATTCAAAGTTACAGTGGCACTGAAATAAGGGACTTTTCACGCTCACATCCATTGCAACGTCCCCATGGTTATGGGATCAAAATTTGGATGCTTGGCAACTGACTCATATTTATGACCATTGCACTGTCCCAGGGTCATATGATCCCCGTTTGCAACCTTCCCACAAGCAAAGTCAATGAGAAAGCCAGATTCACTTAGCAACTGTGTTGCTAACTTAACAACTGCAGTGATTCACTTAACAACTGTAGCAAGAAAGGTCATAAAAGGTTGCAAAACTCACCTAACAAATCTTTCACTTAACAACAGAAATTTTGGGCTCAGTTGTGATCAACCTGTAATTATATCAGGATGAGCCAGAAGTTTTCTCTGTTTCCTCTATCCTCTGTGAAGAGGATCAATAGTTACATTGCTGATTTCTGATCGGTATGAAAAAAAGCTTATCATACTAAGTATTATCATTAAACAAAATTACAGAAAAAATATTTGTTAGTAGATTCCAAAACATAAAAACATGAAACAAAACAACAAAAAATTTCAGAACAAACCAGTAGAAAAATTGCTACTAGGTGTCATTGTGCCAGTTTGGTCAGAAAACTTTTCTCTTTACTCTCATTGGAACAGTCAATGCAAAATTATTATTCTCTTCGATTCAAACTAAATAGATGATTTGCTATCCTGTGAAATATAATACAGTAGCATTTTTGAAAGAACCCTATGATAAAAAGGGTTTTAGGAGAAAGCTTTAAACAATTCTGGTTTAAGATTGCTGATTCAAAAATAGATTGTTTTGCAAGAAAACTTAAGAGAATTATGCATAATAGAACAAATTCCAAAGCTTTATTGATTATAAAGATGTATATTTCCTGACCAATCAGGCAAAACAACAGTGGCACATTTTCTCTCATTGTTTTGTATGTGCATTTAAATTTCAGAGTCAAATGAGAAATGCTTAAAATTGGCCTTAAAAACCACTCAGGATGTTTATACTGCTGTGCAGATAGTTCTGCACCATTAAGTTAGGAAACTCGCATAGTTTCAGGTTGCATGTAAGCTGCTTTCCTACTTTTGCAAGAGGGATCTTGGAGTCCTAGTAGACAACCACTTAAATGTAAGTCGGCAGTGTGCTGCAGCTGCCAAAAAAACCAACACAAACTGTGTGAACAGAAGGATGGAATCATGATCATGTGAAATGTCAGTATCCCTTTATAATGCCTTGGTAAGATTTGGAATACTACACCCAGTTTTGGTCACCACAACACACACAAAAAAAGATGTTGAGACTCTAGAAAGATTGCAGAGAAGAGCAACAAAGATGATTAGGGGACTGGAGGCCAAAACACAAGGAACGGTTGCAGGAATTGGGTATATCTAGTTTAATGAAAAGAAGGACTAGGGGTGACATGAGATCAGTGTTCCAATATCTATCCAATCTTTAATCAAAGAAGAAGAGGTCAACCTATTCTTCAAAGCACCTGAAGGCAAGACAAGAAGCAATGGCTGGAAACTAGTCAAGGAGAGGATCAGCCTAGAAATGAGAAATTTCCCAACAGTGAGAACAATTAACCAGTGGAAACCTTGCCTTCAGAAGTTGTGAGTGCTCCAACACTGGAGGTTTTTAAGAAGAGATTGGAGAACTATTTGCCTGAAATGGTATAGGGTCTCCTGCTTGAGCAGTGGGTTGGACTAGAAGACCTCCAAAGTCCCTTCCAACTCTGTTGTTCTGTTAAGCTAAAGAACAGCAACAGCTCAACGTATATTACTACAAAGCACAAAAACTCCAAGGCCCTGATAATTTTTTTCATGTTATGCTTTACAATTTATTTCATTTATTCATAAACTTAAATTAAAAAAAAAACCTCAGATACCAAAATCCTTTGAAAACTTGGACAAATAAGTAAACATTAAAAGAGGCAAATATTAATTTCAAGCCATTTCAAAGACCTGTAAAAGATAGGCTTGGGTTTCTGGTAAGTTTTGGAAGTCAGCATATCTGGTGAATGATCTCTGCCCTGGGGAAAAATGAACAGAAAAACTGAGACGCTAAAATCAGGCCATTTCAGTTTGGGCAATGCCTTTAGTTGCTTTCTGATTAGATCACAGGAGGGAAGAGATCGCCACTTACTAAATGATACTTTTTTTCCACAATCTTGAAGGACATATGTTCAATTCTGTAGCAACTAAAAGGCTTTCACAGGGTATTGTAGAACAAACGTGTCATTTCACATTTTTCCCTCTTTTTTGAGATTATTATCTGCTGCTTCCTTTGAAGCTTTTCAAAGTTATTTTTTATTTAAATATAAGCAGTGAAATTTGGATATAATTTTGCATCCTGAAGCTAAGATTTTGTAATGTAGAAAGCTCAGGTGTGCATTATATACTTATGCCAGAATGTTAATTTGTGGCCTCTACAAATAAAGAGGCACTTTATTTACCTTTTAAAGTTGGTTGCCTCCCTTTTTTTATTTAATCTGTGAGCCTCATTCTTTTATACCTTTCCAAGTACCTCAAATCTTCTCCCATCATTCAATTGTTCTATAATTTTTAGTTTCAGGGCATATGCAACTGTAGTATGTAACGTTTTCCGGTGTTTGTGTATCTCAATCCTCATACTTCAATTTTTTTACCTCTTCTTACACCAAGTATTTAATATTTTCCCATTTTCATCTCATAAAGGACCTAGTTTAAAAAAGAAGTTGGACTGGCCTTCCTCAATTGGTGTCACTTCCAGGATTCTGAAGGTTAAAATGTAATGGACTATATATTACCATCCTTGCATCTGGGAACTGCCTTTATAGTCTCCATTTTGAATTTCCTTGTCATCCACACATAGTCAAAAGAAGAAGAAAACAAATCTCTATTAAATGCTTCTTATGTACATTATGCAGTATGTAATTTGAGCTTAAATAGTATATACTTCCAGGGATAGAGGAGATTCCTTACTGCACAAATGTGTTGGACAATTAAATAATGTCATGGTTAGCTTGTTAGGCCACTGAGAACTACATTTATCCCTGCATACTTTTGTTACATGCAAAGCCTATACAGGGTTCAAATGACTATAGGCAACTTGCATGTGTGAATAGATAGGTGGTACAAGCATCTATAACACAGGTGTCCAACTCAATCGTGTCACGTAACGTATCAGTGTTTTTTGCCTTTGCAGAGCTGGGGTGGGTGTGGCCTGCGTGTGATGCATCAGGCCCATGGACCAACCAATTTGACAACCCTGATCTATACTGTGGGGACAGGAAGAGGACTTGACAGTAGTTTGACTTGAAATGAAGAAGCGTCTTGTGTCATTATATAATTGTGGATTTTCTCATTCTGCTTCAGGGAGCTCGAGGTTTTCCTGGTACACCAGGTCATCAAGGTCTAAAGGGCCCCAGAGTAAGTGTGAATATATCTTTTCCTAATGAAAGAATTGACGTGTATTTGGCAATTTCTTAAAAATATCTTTGCTTCTTTTTTCACTTTTTTTGGTGAATGTGGGTTCCAAATTATTTGTCTATTTTTTTTTTTACTGGGTATATATATATATATCTTTGGTTGTTCGGGTTTTCTCCCGCGTAAGATTCGAAGTATCTAGGCAACGTTTCGATGAAGTCTCATTCATCATCTTCAGGCTTCTGTCTTCGGCTCTTGCTTCTTCTGAGCCGAAGACAGAAGCCTGAAGATGATGAATGAGACTTCAT